GTTTTTAATTTCGTCTTTGTCGTGCCGACATATGACTTTTGGCATACGTCAGCGTCGTCCCCATTACATGTTATCCTATAAACTACATTGCACTTGTCCTCATTCTTAATTTTAGATTTTGTTTTACTAAACAGACTGTCGACATTATTACGAGATTTAAACGCTAATTGATAGTGGTCCTTATTGTAGATGTTTGATTTACCAAGTCTTTCTGAGAATCCCGGGATGTAAGTAACAGCTTTATATATCTTTTCTTGTCTTGCCTCCTTTATTTGGTCCGTTTTTGCGTGTATAATTAGGTCGTCAATGGTGCTTTTTGGAAAATCATTTTGGCTTAATATGTGGCGTATTTTTCTTTCGTTCTCTGAGTGGAATTGTTCGTCACTTATATTGAAAATCCTTTTGATAAAATTAGTCGCTGTGTTTATTTTTATTCGTCGGGGGTGTTTAGAATAAAAGTTAATCAATCGTCCTGACGCTGTTGGTTTTTGGTACCAATCTAATATAAGTTTTCTTCCTTGTCTGATTATTATTGAGTCCAAATAGGGTAGTCTGTCATTTTTCTCCAATTCGTGTGTAAATTGTATGCTCGGGTTGAATGTATTTAGGATATTTAATGCGGTGTTGATATCCGATTTCTTCATTATACAAAAAATGTCGTCTACGTATTTAGTTACTGCTCTCGGCTTTGTCATCAGTTTTTCTAAAGAAGCGTCCAATAATTCCTCCATTACGATGTCAGCAATGATCGGTGACGCTGGTGATCCCATAGGAAGTCCTTTTCGTTGTTCGTACACCTTGTCCGAGTATATGAAATATCTACAGTCCTTTATACAAAAGGTCAGTATTTCTTTAAAAACGTCTTTAGGTATTTTCGTGTATTTTTGTAACATGTTCCACTTTTCATCTATTGTTCTTAAAGCTAGGTTAATCGGTATGCTGGGAAACAACGAAACTACATCAAATGATATTAATACCTCGTCTTCTTCAATCTCCAAATTCATTATCTTGGTTTTAAAATCAATTGCGTCCTTAATGTTATATGGTGAATCCCCTGTCAAGTGTTTTAAAATATTTACAATATACTTGGAAAGTCCGTGAGCTGGTGAATTTATTGAAGAACATATTGGTCTTAGAGGTGTGCTTTCTTTATGTATTTTTGGAAGCCCGTAGATTCTTGGCGCATTTGCAGTATTGATTGTCAATTTATTTTTCTCCATCATATCAATTACTCCCATTTTATATAATTTATCTATTAATTTGTTGTTTTTATTCTGTAATGTCGTAGTTGGGTCCCGCTTTAACCTTTTGTAGGTGCAAATATCATTTAAAATGGTTTTCATTTTCATATCATAGTCCATCTTGTGCATTGCAACCGTCTTTCCCCCTTTATCAGCATTTAATATCAATACATCTTTATTTTCTTTTAAAAATTGTTTTGTTCTACCCACTGTGTCCATTATTAGTTTATCTCTTATACTCAATTTCGTCTGTTGTAAGTGGTCGTCAATTAGAGAGACTATTGCATTTCTCGCGTTCTCTTGATCCTCTTTGTCGTCTAAGGTTTGAATACATTCTTCACTTTCTGCAATGACATTCAGTAAGGGGAATGCCGTTTTTGTTGTTGGCAAAGCATATTTGGGGCCCATCGACAACAGCCACTGAACGTCGTTTGGTATGCTTACGTTGGTGTTGTTGGTAAACCATTGGTTGTTGTGTTGAATATTCAATATTGATAGTTGTTCTTGTTTTAATTTTTGGTATTTGTTGATGTGTCTTGTTTTGTTTTTGTTGTCGTAGCTGCGACGGAGAACATTTTCGCTCTCAATGTATTTGTTGTAATCTTCTTCGTCCATTACCTGCTGCAGTTTCGTTTTAGTTTTTTTGAGTATAGTTTTGTTGTTGTGGAGTTCTTTATGTTTTTGTTGTATTATAAGCTTTAATATTTTTATGTGGAAATTGTAATTGTATTTTTCGAGTGTTGATAATAAATTTGGCGGGATTTAAGAGAAATACGTTAAAAATGCATTTATACAAAGAAATTAAACAAAAATATGACACAAACACGATTAATAACATCAAGCAATATTCCAAACGTAACCGGCAAACAGCAACTTTGACAGCATCAACAACCTTTTTAATAAAATGCAGACAGCTAGGAGTAGTTCCAAAGTTCATTTCTAACACTACTAAAAACACCAACAACATATTCCAAACAAATGAGAAAATCCCGCCAAATTTATTATCAACACTCGAAAAATACAATTACAATTTCCACATAAAAATATTAAAGCTTATAATACAACAAAAACATAAAGAACTCCACAACAACAAAACTATACTCAAAAAAACTAAAACGAAACTGCAGCAGGTAATGGACGAAGAAGATTACAACAAATACATTGAGAGCGAAAATGTTCTCCGTCGCAGCTACGACAACAAAAACAAAACAAGACACATCAACAAATACCAAAAATTAAAACAAGAACAACTATCAATATTGAATATTCAACACAACAACCAATGGTTTACCAACAACACCAACGTAAGCATACCAAACGACGTTCAGTGGCTGTTGTCGATGGGCCCCAAATATGCTTTGCCAACAACAAAAACGGCATTCCCCTTACTGAATGTCATTGCAGAAAGTGAAGAATGTATTCAAACCTTAGACGACAAAGAGGATCAAGAGAACGCGAGAAATGCAATAGTCTCTCTAATTGACGACCACTTACAACAGACGAAATTGAGTATAAGAGATAAACTAATAATGGACACAGTGGGTAGAACAAAACAATTTTTAAAAGAAAATAAAGATGTATTGATATTAAATGCTGATAAAGGGGGAAAGACGGTTGCAATGCACAAGATGGACTATGATATGAAAATGAAAACCATTTTAAATGATATTTGCACCTACAAAAGGTTAAAGCGGGACCCAACTACGACATTACAGAATAAAAACAACAAATTAATAGATAAATTATATAAAATGGGAGTAATTGATATGATGGAGAAAAATAAATTGACAATCAATACTGCAAATGCGCCAAGAATCTACGGGCTTCCAAAAATACATAAAGAAAGCACACCTCTAAGACCAATATGTTCTTCAATAAATTCACCAGCTCACGGACTTTCCAAGTATATTGTAAATATTTTAAAACACTTGACAGGGGATTCACCATATAACATTAAGGACGCAATTGATTTTAAAACCAAGATAATGAATTTGGAGATTGAAGAAGACGAGGTATTAATATCATTTGATGTAGTTTCGTTGTTTCCCAGCATACCGATTAACCTAGCTTTAAGAACAATAGATGAAAAGTGGAACATGTTACAAAAATACACGAAAATACCTAAAGACGTTTTTAAAGAAATACTGACCTTTTGTATAAAGGACTGTAGATATTTCATATACTCGGACAAGGTGTACGAACAACGAAAAGGACTTCCTATGGGATCACCAGCGTCACCGATCATTGCTGACATCGTAATGGAGGAATTATTGGACGCTTCTTTAGAAAAACTGATGACAAAGCCGAGAGCAGTAACTAAATACGTAGACGACATTTTTTGTATAATGAAGAAATCGGATATCAACACCGCATTAAATATCCTAAATACATTCAACCCGAGCATACAATTTACACACGAATTGGAGAAAAATGACAGACTACCCTATTTGGACTCAATAATAATCAGACAAGGAAGAAAACTTATATTAGATTGGTACCAAAAACCAACAGCGTCAGGACGATTGATTAACTTTTATTCTAAACACCCCCGACGAATAAAAATAAACACAGCGACTAATTTTATCAAAAGGATTTTCAATATAAGTGACGAACAATTCCACTCAGAGAACGAAAGAAAAATACGCCACATATTAAGCCAAAATGATTTTCCAAAAAGCACCATTGACGACCTAATTATACACGCAAAAACGGACCAAATAAAGGAGGCAAGACAAGAAAAGATATATAAAGCTGTTACTTACATCCCGGGATTCTCAGAAAGACTTGGTAAATCAAACATCTACAATAAGGACCACTATCAATTAGCGTTTAAATCTCGTAATAATGTCGACAGTCTGTTTAGTAAAACAAAATCTAAAATTAAGAATGAGGACAAGTGCAATGTAGTTTATAGGATAACATGTAATGGGGACGACGCTGACGTATGCCAAAAGTCATATGTCGGCACGACAAAGACGAAATTAAAAACTAGACTTTCCGGACATAAATCGGATCAAAAAAGTGACAAGCCTCTCGAACAGAAGACTGCTTTAGCTGCACATTGCACATTGACAGGACATAAACCCGACCTTAAAACCGTCGACATATTAGCACAAGAAAATAATTACAAAAGACGATTTACATTGGAAATGTTACATATTATAAGTTTACCAAATGACAAACGAATTAATTATAAAACCGATACAGACCATTGTGCTCACATTTACAGAAGCCTAGTTCATAAACACCGACGAAAGAAAACTTAGTTTGATAGTGACATTTAAACTCAATAGACGAGCTTTTTACTTTAAAAATGTATGTTATTTATTGTGTTATGTATTGTTAAAATCAGTTTGTAATTTGTGTTTTTTGTAAAACAGATCCCTGAAGATGATTTCCGGAGGAAATCGAAATATTGGATGAATAAAAAAAAAGGAAAAATTCAAAAATAAAAACATAGTTTTTTAATGACCTTAAGCCAAGCTATTAACCAAATAAGTTTATACAATTTTCAAATTGAAAGCATTTAATGGAAACTATACAATTTCCAAATGTAGTATTTAAAAACCACTTATGTGAAAAATTCAAAATTGTATTAGAGAACTATGTCATATAAATATGTCAAAATTACTATAATAAAAAAGGCCAATCAATGGAAATTGAATAATTTTAAAATATTTCTCCCACAACTATCAAAAAACCATATCCAAATACACAAAGAGAAATAAAAATTAAAACAAAAATAAAAATTTCAAAATATAACTACTCAACAAATATTAACATTTACTTTCTCTCAATGCATTGAAAGTTTTAAATACTTTGCAACTTAAATCACTTTGAATTATTTTAAATCCTCGTTTAATGAAATTTATCTATTAGTTTAAAAGTGTTCGTTTTTTATCGAAATGGAATATTAATTGGCCTTTGATTACTCAAGAATATTTTGCAATTCTAGCTGTGGGAGTTTGTCGTTTAAATTTTTGTTGTTCGATTTTTGATTCCGGTTTTTTGATATCGAATTCGGTTTCAGTAAAAATTCTCATTTTACTGTTGTCCCCTTTTCGGATGGTTCGATATTGGGAATGGAAATTACTGCATTTTCTTTTCTTCATGAGCCTTTTTAACAATGGCCAATTTCGAATGGGGTGATGCTGGTGATAGGGTACGATAAGGTGCCTCTTTTGTACCATGCAATACAAGCGACCAATCGATTAACCAACCGGAACGGGGCTGATTTGAATTGAACCGAGCCTAGAAATAAAAAAGTAAAATGTTGTAAATTAATGTTTTAGAATATCTGACGTAAAACAAACCTCCAATTTCCATGTGCCATGAGGATATTCACCCCACGAATGTGTTGTCATAAAAGGCCATTTAGTGAAACCATCGCGATGATCGTCATCATTGGCGCGCCGTGATAGAATCATTGATCTGTAAAAGAAATAAGTTTTTTATATAAAAAATATGTTTATATAATTTTATAGAACAATGAGTATTTAATAGTTAACAGATAATGGACTTTCCAAACTAGAATTGTGGATTAATTTAAACAATTTTTAGAGGACTTTAAAATACAATAATGAACAATTTTAAATATATTTTTAAGGGCTTCTGGAGCTATATTAGCTTAGAGCATCTTTAAAACTTAACGATATTCCTAAAGGATATTAAAATTGTACACGTAAAATATTCTTCTAATATAATAGAATGGAAAATATGGATTTTTTTTAAATATTTCATATTTTGCAAATTTCCAGAATTAAAAATATTTTTAATGAAAAATAATATTTTTAAAAATTTATATTTTTTTAAGAACTAAAAACGTAGGCTTCAAAAATTGTCTTTCAGAACACCAGGGTGAGATAAAAAACTGCAACAAAGCCAAACGCCATAAATTTTAAATTTTTTTTAATTTCATTGAATGAAAGCAAAAAATGTCGGAAATGGCATCAAATTAGAATTAGTTTAGATTTGTTCGAATTGGTCACCTTTGGCACGAATTATGGCCTTTAAACGGCCAATGAAACCGGTCAAAATGTTTGCGTGCCCAAGGCTTTAATATACCCTCCAGAATATTTTCGCGATAATATTCGGCATTTATTCTGATGCCACACCATCACCATGGCCGGCGCTTGAGTTCTGGTGGCCAACCAAAGGTGCACATTTTCAGCAGATCTCTTTGGCAAGTAAACACGATCATTTTGTTTGTTTACAAACTGCTATACAACGAATGTTTTCTCATCGGAGAAAACCAAATTCGGCAGTTCACCATGTTCGGCCAAGCGAAGCAACTCTTCAACTCTTTTGAGTCTATTTTCTTTCTGTTGCGGTGTAAGTTCCTGCACTTTTTTGGAATTTCAATGGCTTTACCCCGAGCTCATTTTTAAATATTTGCCGAATGGAATATTGCGATTGTTAATCTCACGAGCCATTTTTCGGCCACTGCGACGCGGGTTTCTATCAAGTCGCTTCTTTACTTTTCGAATCATTTCTACTGATATTGGTGTTTTCTTCCGTCCACTTCCTTGACGTTGGGCTATCACGATAAATAGCGATGGTGCGAGACACAAACGATTTATTCACATTCAAATGCTGGAGTGCTATCACATTCAAATGCTGGGATCCTATCAAATTGAATAATTTTCGTACATGTTATCGAAGCACTTCACATTTACAGTTATACTAATAACAAAATTCGTAATACTTCTTTTCACATGCCAAATTTAGTACCATTTAGTACTTTTTGTACGCAGTGCATTTACTCACTTTTGCTACACTTATTGTTCAAAATTTCCATAAGTCATTTGTTTCATAAATCCTATGCTATTTCAAAAACACTCATTCCAAATTTCGGATTTCCAGCTCTATCTCTCTCCTAAATACCAAATTTAATGCAACTTACAACTTTTCATACTTTGTACAAAGTTTTTCAAAATACACATCCATATATCAACCTCACCTCACAAAAAGTGACCCCAATACCTAATTGCAGATTTCCAACTCTGTCACGTCGTCGTATACCAAATTTAGTAACATTTAGTACTTTTTGAACTTTTTAGTACATATTTCCAAAATCACCTACAAATCTCAGCCACATACACTAACAGGGACCTCCATCATACTATGGAGGGTATATTAATTTTGTCATTCCGTTTGTAACTCCTCGAAATACTCATGTCAGACCCAACAAAGTTTATATATTCTTGATCAGCCTAAAATTCTAAGACGATTTAGCCATGTCCGTCTGTCTGTTGTAATCACGCTATCTTTCGAACAAATTGAGATAGAAGGCTAATTTTTTGCAAACATGTATATTTTGCCAGTAGGCAGGTTAAATTCGTAAATGGGCCATGTAGGTCCAAGTTATCATATAGCCCCCATATAACGGTACCTCCCGATATTCGGTATTTTGATGATTTTAGCGACATTATTTACCGGAATGGTTTCAAATTTGGCATTTGAATTTCGTAATGGATACTACATCCTAAGTCAAAAAATGAGCCATGTAGGTCTTCATATAGCCCCCATATAACGGTACCCCCCGATACTCGGTATTTTGATGATTTTAGCGACATTATTTAACGGAATCATTTTGGTATTTGAAGTTCGTAATAGATACTGCAGCATAAAACAGAAAATGGGCCATGTAGGTCTACATCTTAGTATAGCCCCCATATGCCGTACCCCCCGATATTCGGTATTTTGATGATTTTAGCGACATTATTTACCGGGATTGTTTCAAATTTCGCATGTGAAGTTCGTAATGGATACTTCAGCCCATGCCAGAAAATTGTCTGTGCAGGTTCACGTCTTGGTATAGCCCCCATATAACGGTACCCCCTATATTCGGCATTTTGATGATTTAAGCTACATTAAAAACATATTTCTCTTCAAGTTTAGCATTTAAATATTGTGATAACTTATGACAACAGTTGCCTATGCAGGTCCACGTCGTCGTATAGGCATTCGGTATTTTTAATATTTTAACAGAATTTTTAACGGATTTTTTTTTTTTGGAAATTGCCAAATTTGTACCAAATGGTGGAGGGTATTAAAAGTTCGGCCCGGCCGAACTTACAGCGTTTTTACTTGTTGTTAAATCTTTCAGGACTACCTTCGTGTATTTAAAAAACTGCTTTTAAAGAGTTTTCGAAACTAAAAAAGTGGGATTTTTATAACTATTTAGCGTAGCTTTTTTAAAACTATCAAAACACTTTTAAAAATTGACTTTTAAAATTTATTAAACAAAACTTTTTGAAATAAAAACTAAGTTTTTTTAATAGGACTTTTAAATAATTTCCAATGAGTATTGTAATACCGTAATCTAAGGAAAGAAAACGATCATACAAATTTGCACAAACTTTACAAACCCTAATCAGGTGGGAAAATGGACAATATCGGACCACTTCTTCAGTACCGCCCCACAAGGGGTCAACAAAATAATGATAACTCTTATAAAATTAAATTAAAACCCAGATTGTCTTCAAGTTACGCATATCCAAATATTTTTATTAACACAAGATCTAGTATGATCAACGGATATAACGGACCACCCCTTCTAGTACCTCCCCACAACATTTTGAATAATTATAACTCTTATAAAAGAATTCGAACGTCTTCAAATTTCATACATCTTAGTATTTCTACCAACAAAACATCTGGTATGAAGAACGGATTACTACTTCCGGTACCTTCCCCAAAACTGATCGAAATTTTGAAAAACCATGAGGCAAATAAACCCTCCGATATTCGGAATATTGATGATTTCAGCCACATTTGTCAATGGAATTGTCTGAAATTCCACACAAGTAGTTCCTTGTGAGTACTTTACCTCCTGAGAGAGAATTATCCATACAGGTCCACAATATCATATATCCCCCATATAACGGTACCCCCCGATATTCGGTATTTTCATGATTTTACCCAAATTTTTCAACGGAATTGTCTGAAAATCCAGTTTAAGCAGTTTACACCCTGACAGAGAATTCTCTATATAGGTTAACGATATCGTATATCCCCCATATAACGGTACCCCCGATATTCGGTATTTTTTTATGATTTTAGCCATATTTTCCAATGGTAATATCTGAAAATCCACACAAGGAGTTCTTTGTGAGCACTTAAACCTCTGCAAGGAAATTGTCTATATAGGTCTAAAATATGATATACGATATTTTAGACCTATATATCGGCACCTTCTGATATTAGATATATTAAAGATTTTAACAGAATTTTTAATTAATTTTATCTTTTGAAAATTTTCTAATTCGTTCCAAATGGTAGAGGGAATTCAAAGTTCGGCCCGGCCGAACTTACTGCTTTTTTACTTGTTTTTTTTTTTTTTTTTGGACGGGGTGGTATATATCGTTCCACTACATCTGGAACCTAGCGTACATTTCAAAATTTTCCGAAAATGGTCACATATCTCATATAAAGCCAAGGAAGTATTCGGTACAGTCCAAATGTGGTACTTTGAAATATTTATATCGAACTTAGCTCATATACGAAATCGCAATATAGCCCCACTCCTTTGGTACCATTTAAATAAACCGTCAAAATTTTATTAATTACAAGACAAGTCGGAATTTATTTAAATAAACGGTCATTGGTGGTGTATATAGATCTGTAGGCAGAACCGACTGATACATTTTAACTTCTTTTCAAATATTTTTATACCCTCCACAATATTATGGAGAGTATATTAAGTTTGTCATTCCGTTTGTAACACCTTGAAATATACATTTTAGACCCCACACTTCAGCTTTCGATCGAAATGAAGTAGGTTGACAAAATTTTACTCAAATGTGTATTATGTCTGCAGAACTTTTGGTATTGAAAATGGGTGATGTAGGTCCACGTTTCGGTATAGCCCCCATATAATGGTACCTCCCTTTTTTCGGTATTTTTGTGATTTAATTTAGTATTTGAAGTTCGTAAGGGGTACTACAGCCTTTGACAGAAAATTGTCTGTTCAGGTCTTCGTCTTCGCATAACCCCCATATAATGGTTCTTTCCGATATTCGGTATTTTGATGATTTTAGCGGCATTATTCACCGGAATCGTTTCAAATTTGGTATTTGAAGTTCGTAATGAATGCTAAAGCCTATGACAGAAATTTGTCTGTGCAGGTCCAGGTCTTGGAATAGCCCTAATATAAAGGTACCTCCCTATATTCGGAATTATTCACCGATTTTTTTTATTCAAGTTTAACATATGAATATTGTAATGGTTTATGACAAAAGTTGTCTATGCAGATCCACGCCGTTGTATAAACCCTAATATAACGGCTACATTCGGTATTTTTAAGATTTTAACAGAATTTTTAACGGATTTTATTTTTTTGAAAATGGCCAAAATCGTTCCAAATGGTGGAGGGTATTCAAAGATCGGCCCGACCGAACTTACAGTTTTTTTACTTGTTTGTAGATTATATATTGTTTTTAGGCACATTTAGCGCTTCAAACAAAAGACATTTTTGGTGAATTACAACTAAATCATAAGGGTTGTATTAATTTATAAATATTATACATATATTTAATAACTACACAAAATATCAATAATATCATACCTTGTTCCCATTGGCGATGTTAAGAACAGTTCCAGATCTCCTCTACGTGATGCATTTGCCGATATAACAGCCTGGACATGTTCCAAATAGTTAACCTCAGTATCTGTTCCCTTACATGCATCGGTTTTGATTTCCAGGAATAGAGAACGGCCAGAATAAATGGGGCTGTAAACATAACAATATTTAATTATAAAACATACATTATTTGCCATAAAAAAATTATATTTACTGTGTTTCCGAAATTTCACCAGCCTCGCAATGATATCTTGGCGGTACCGTATGCCATTGTTTGGCCAACGTTACCATACCGCCGGCATCCAAAACACCAAAACCAAACAAGTGATTGAACTCCAACCCCACACCATTCATTGTCCAATGAAAACGATTTTTGGCATCAAAGAGAGAATTTCGTTTCGAAGTCAATACCGTCAAATGCTGAATATCACGCCATGTCAATTCAGGGCTACAAAAAATAAAATTAAATTAAATCCTTTTAAGTTGAAACGATTTTGTGCTTTAAATTTCTTCCCACAATCAAAATGAAACAATTGGCAACCAACCGACGTCATTGTTTCAATCCAATTTAAGTGCGTCCATATGTAGTGCTTCCTTATCAACGCCATGGCACATGATTTACTTACTTTGCCTCCAAGGCCAATGCAAACACACCAGCTGCTTCCGGTGCGGCCGCACTGGTACCCGAATGTGTTGTTGTACATTTGCCGTATAGATCTGTTGTTGCCACGCCAGTATTGGGATCTTTGGCACCATTACTGAATGTACTGGCCAATGTTGAACTGCAACTTTCATCGTAATGAGCGTTTTGACCATCGTTTATGGCACTATTAATGGAAATTGTCCACATGGAAGCAGCATAGCCATCGCAATTGCAATCGTCCTCTTCGCCACCATCACCCGATGCCCACACATAAATATTGCCCAATCCATTACGACCCTACGGGAAATATAAGACCATGTTTGTGTGTGTGAGTTGGTCATTACATTTGGTTACAATCGAATGACTTCTCCCACAGAGAGCGGGAGAGCCAGCATGTAAATGTTTGTGTGTGAGTAAAAATCTCAAAGACTTATTAAACAGCCTTTGGTCCTCGAACACATTATTATACACACCTCATTAACACCCTGTACAATGGCACGCATTGTAGCATTACGAGGTCCATCCACAGTTTTGCCATCATCAGTTGGACCCCATGAAGCACTGTAAATGTGAATTTTATGCGGTTCATGGCCCATTGAATTCGCCTCAATCAAATCTGTCATATAAGGCTGATCCAACATGCGTATACCTAAAACGCAAATAAACGATAAACGCAGGAAGAGAAAGGGAATCAATTATTACGACTGCAAACGAAGTGGTTTACCTTATTTCCTAATATTACTTTTATTATCTACCATTATTATTATAATCTGACACAACGTCATTCTATTGACAATCCACTGGCATGGTATTTATCTGTGTATTAAATAAATAGGCAGACACCCATGTATGTGCGTATAAATATTGACGTTGTGAGGAGATAACAACTCATCAATTTATGGGCAACAATAAAAATCACTCAGTCCATGTTAACACATTTATGACAATTTCGTAAATATTTTTATATTTTTATGCATGAGTAAGATATTGGATTGCATAGTAGGAGGGCAATGGGGTCCTTGGAAGTTAAAAAAAACGGATTTAAGTGAAGGATTTGATAGCTATAATCAAAATATATTACAAGAAGTGCATATAAAGTAAACGATAAGGTCTTGACCACTATGTTAGGACGGCATTAAAAGTTTGATTGTGCCAAAAACTGTACAGCACCTCAAAATATTGGTCATAAACGAACCTAGACCTGATCTCCAAATCTCGACTAGATAAGTAAGTCTAACAGTACCTGTCCATGGTAATTTTTAATCAAACCACAGGTCACAGTTATTGTGCGCTGGAAATGAAGCTAGGCACATCTTTTTGTAACCATTCTTGAGTTCTGTTAGAATGTCCAAGGTCTGAGGCAAAAATGTTTGCATGCCCAAGGCTTTAATACACCCTACAGAATATTTTCGCTATAATATTCGGCATTTAAAATGATTCTGATGCCACGGTTGATTAATACTAGCGGAGAGCGACCATCGGCTGGCCCACACCATCACCATGACCGCTTGAGTTCTGGTGGCCAACCGAAGGTGCACATTTTCGGCTGACCTCTTTGGCAAGTAAACACATTTGGTTTTTTCCAAACTGCTGGACAACGAGTGTTTTCTCATCGGAGAAAAACAAATACGGCAGTTCACCACTTTCGGCCAAGCGAAGCAACTCTCTTTTAGGAATTTCAATGTGGTTTTCCAGCCAAATATGAAGAAACCACACCATCAGGCGTGAATTCAATCACGAATTATTTTTTTTCTGGAAACTTCTCACCAAAGTGCTTTTGTATGCTTGAAAACAATATAATGAGCTGTCATTGAAATAATTTTAACAGCTGTCGGACGAGTGGCTTAGAAATGACAGCAGTCTGAAGTTGGTTGCAGTTTTTTCATCTCACCCTGTATATCTGGTAGACATGTGAAGACTCACTAAGCTTGAAAATGGGCATTGTATGTTTATGTATAAGAAAAATCTTCGAATAATTATTTTGAATATTATGCTACGCCTTTTTGGCAGTGGTGGTAGCAGAAGGGGAAGATCTTTTGGGAACACAGATTGGCGATTTACAGCAAATTAGCCTCAAAAATATGAGTAACATTTAAAGAAATCTTAAAGCAGACAGCATATAGCCCATTTTAAATACCAAAAATTTTTCGTACCTGAAATTCCATTATCAGTGCTCATAATCGTTGTTGAATTGACCCAAAAACTTTGCAATTGTTAAAATCTTTGTTCAATGCGTCATAAATTTCCATAATAAAATTATTTAATACCGAAAGTTTTATGTTGCAATTTCAATTTATTACAAATATTTACTTAAAATCAGGGATTAATCCATCTTTTTTTGGGATATACCCACACTTTCTCTAACTGAGAAGATAAATTCAACGCTAGAGCATATGCTTGCCCTTCTATCGCCTTTATGACGTGGGAGTACAGGTTGACCATAACAACTAAATTCCCAGATGTATACTTTTACACACATTTATATTTGTATATATGTTTACGTTATCATAAATACCTATGTACACACATAAATATTTATAGATATGGCATCAAACTTTGATTTCTGCTGTCTATCAATGTCATAAACGAATACTAACACACACACACACACAGACCAACTAAGCAAATATACAATCCACTATAATCGCAATGTTATTCTCTCGATTCAATTAAAAGCTTTTACTGGGTAAAAAAGACTAATAAAGAAGTGATAACAATAACAAAAACAATAATAAAAAAATACAAACGATAATGGTGGATCAAAGTGAATTGAATAATCATTAGATGTTCCCAAGAAGTGTCAATAGCAATAATAATTATTAATATAACTAACAGATATAGATACTTTTTCAAGATTAAGTGAGCAAGAGAGGAAGTGATTTTTCTTATTGGAAGGGTTTCTAAGAAGAAAAACAATTTTATTAAAGACACTGTGCAACAAAGATGTTGAAGGCTGGTATATTAAACTTATTCGTTTACATAAAAAGTTTGTAACACCTCGAACCACTATATTTTCCTATTTCGCCGATATGAGTCAAAGGGATATGAAAAATAATCCACAATATTTGACAAATATTAAGAAAATGTATAATATTTGCCCTTACTAATACTATTATGAGACATACATACTTGAAAATGTATATACATGAAAAAAAAACCTTATATAAATCATATAAAACTAGCAAGTGCCAGCTAATTCGTCAGCGAAAATCCAAGAGTAAAATTTTAGATTCGTTCCACCAGTTCATTTTAGTACTCAAATTGCACCAAATTTGCAAATCTCATCGTACTAACAGTTCGATAACACTTTGTCTATATTAGAGTTTTTCATTGATCGAAAAACGATGGCTTTTTGCATCATAAAGTCTTCAAAATCTATCATTTTGAAGTTCTCCGAAGAGTATATTAGTCAAACCCTTGCACCATGGTTCACATCCAATTTTTTTGGCCCAAAACTACTTTTAGGTCTTTTCATAATAAAAATTGAACACCACTATTTCTAAATCCAAAAAAACAACAGTGACCCCAATAACAAATTTCAGGATTCAAGCTCCATCAATTCACTCAACGGCAAATTTAATACGATTTAGTACTTTACGAACCGTCATTGTACGCATTCAAAAATCCACCTCCTTCTCTCAAAACTATATACCAATAGTGGGCCTCATATCAAATTTCAAATTGGACCCAATTCCAAATTTATTACCATATTATTTGTACAGTTATACTACGCAACTCCAAAACCTGCCCTATCTCTCCACCCTATGCACCAACGGTGACCTATTCAAAATTCTATTTCCATCCCAACGGAATATTTTGGTAGCATTTTGCACTTTTCGTACGTTCACAGAACGAATTTCCCAAGCCGCCTCATTCTCTCAACTACAGACGGCAACAGTGATTTCAGCTCTTCATCCAATAGGTTTAAATAGGTATTTTCAACATTGACCTTACTATCAAATTTCAGGAATTCAGCTCATTTCCTGCATCCAATACCAAATTTAGTACTTTTCGTACAATTATAATACACATTTCCAGATACCAACAGAAACTTCAATATCAAATTTGAGGATTCCAACCCTATCCCCATACACAATACCAAATTTAGTACCATTTAGCACTTTTCGTACAAATAAGGGATGCATCCAAACCACCGCCAAATCTCAAACATAGATACCATCAGTAATATAAATATAAAATATAAGAATTTAATCTCTATCCCTTCGCACAATACCAAAAATAGCACTTTTCATGCCATTCAAAGCCAGCACTCTACAGCTCAACTACAGACACCAACAGTGACCTCAATATCAAATTTTAGAATTTCAGCCCTATCCAATAACCATGTACGAAATTCAGTACTTTTCGTACAATTATAGTACACATTTCCAAAACCACCTCCATATCTCAATTCCAGATACAAGTTTGACGATTCCAGACCTTTTCCTATACACGATACCAAATTTAGTACATTTTGTACAAATATAGGATGCATTTCCAAGCCTCCGCCAAATCTCATACACAGATACCATCATTAATCTAAATATCAAATTTCAGAATTTTATCTCTATCCCTCCACTCAATCCCAAATCTAGTAACTTTCACAACCTTCAGAAACGACCTCCATATAAACAGTTACCCTTATACCAAATTATATACTTCAAGCAATTTTTCCATACCAAATATAGTACTAAATAGTACTTTTCGTACAATTTTTAACCACCTCCATATCTCCACCCAGATGCCAACAGATATCTCAATATCAATTTTCATGATTCCAGCTCTATTTCCACACCCAGAACCGAATATAGCACCAATCAGTACTATTGGTACAATTGTAGCACACATTTCTAAAGCCAGCTCTATAACTTGACAACAGACACAAACAGTAACTTTACATAATACATAATAACAAATGACACCATATTAGAAGTTTAGTACCATTTAAGAATTCTTTGTAACCTTACATTTCGAATTTATAAAAAAGTCAGTCGGTTACTTCACTACTCTTACATATATATAGATTAATATTGGAAACCCGATTTGTTCCTTATTCAATAGAGTTCGACCTTAGTTTGGGAAGACCATTATCATATGCCAAGATTGGGTGATGGTCTTATCACCTGCCGGATAGATAAACGCGGCTATGCCAATTTCGAATTTCGTAGAACGGACACATATAAAGATTTATTCTGTGGGTAATCAAAAACAAGTTAAAAAGCAGTAAGTTCGCCAGGGCCGAACTTTGAATACCCTCCACCATTTGGAAGGAATTTGGAAATTTTCAAAAAATAAAATTCTTAAAAAATTCTGTTACAAACTCTAAAGATAGTAGTTATATTGGGGTGTACACGACCTAGGCATGGTTTATCATAATCCACTACCATATTCAAATTCGAAACTTCAAATAAACGATCAATAATGTAGCTAAAATCATAAAAATATCGTATATAGGGAGGTACCGTTATATCGGAGCTGTGCGAAGACCAGGACCAGCATAGACAATTTTCTGTCACAGGCTGTACCATCTGCTACGAACTTCAAATACGACATCTCAAACAATTTATGTGAGTATTGCACCTAAAATCGTCATAATACCGAATGTAGAGAGGTACTGATATATGGGGCCTATACGAAGACCTGGACCTGCGTCGACAATTTTCTGTCACAGACTGTAGTTCCCATTACGAACTCTAAATACGTAATTTAAAGCAATTCTGGAAAATAATGACGCTAAAATCATCAAAATACCGAATAATGGGATGTACCGTTATATGGGGGCTATACGAAGACGTGGATCTGCACAGACAATTTTCTGTTATAGTCTGTAGTATCCATTTCGAACTTCAAATACCAAATTTGAAACATTTCCTGTGAATAATGTCGCTAAGATCATCAAAATACCGAATATCGGGAGGCACAGTTATATGGGGGCTAAATGAAAACGTAGATCTACATGGCCCTTTACATACTTAACCTGCTTACTGGAAATATAAACATGTGTGCAAAATTTTAGCATTCTATCTTAATTCGTTCGAAAGATATTATTACTTCCAGTCCAGTTATAATAATGAGTAAGGAATCACATTTGTAATAAGTATTTGCTGATATACCTATCTCTACTGCCGAAATGCCATTCGTAAACTTCTAACGAAATAGTCTTTTCTAATTAGTAGGGTCTTAAATTTAAACTCTAAGCAAAAGATTTTGCTCAAAAAATTATTCTTACATTAGAGCTGTGATAATATTCACTAGTGTATCTTTAAAATTTAATTAAATGATTCATTAGTGTTCCATGCCAGTGGAATTAACAATCTTCTTTTAAGAATTCTCCTGCCCATATTGGTAGATAATGTTAGCATTGATAAACCAAAGAATCCGTTATTGACCGAAATTACGTTTCCCTAATGACATGAACTCAACTTACCTGCAATTTTACTGTCATAGGCTACACCAACGCCACAAATTCCATTATCACGGGCAGCAGCAACTTCACCAGCGCAACGAGTTCCATGGCTGCCAGTCAAATGGAAACAAAGAAAATACAACAATACAATAAAAGTATGTACTCAAACCTTGACCAATTTTTTCGAAACAATGGGGATTATTTCCATCGTTAACATTTCCATGAAATCAAAGGTGACATTTAGTCTTACCTGTTGAACCAATCGTCCGTGTAGCGAGGATACGGGAATGGATCATTGCTGCTAAAATCGTAACTAGCTTCAGCATTCTGTATAAGAGAGGAGAAAACGCCAAGAAAGGTAAATACAAAAGTTAATAACATTTTATGAAGAAGTGGCTAATAACAATTCAGGGGGAACGCTTTATATTATCGGAATTGAATATGTACGTATGTTTACTATTCTCTTTATTTTAATATATCATTCTCTGACATTCAGTTCAGCGTGTTTATTTAGGATGCAGAGATTGATGGAAATTTTACTTAAAGTTTAAAGAACATTTTTAATAAAAATGGAAGAATCAATCAGTTACAGCAACTAATATACTCGAAGTTTATATCAAACAATTTACAAATCACAATTTACAGGGTGAGATGTAAAAACTGCAACCAACTTAAGGCTGCTGTTATTTCTAAGCCACTCGTCCGACAGCTGTTAAAATTATTCCAGTGACAGCTCATTATATTGTTTAAAAGCGTACATAAGCATTATTGTAAGAATTTTCCAGGAAGAAGTTATTCGTTATAGAATCCAAGCGTGATAGTGTGATTTCTTTATATTTGGATGGAAACCCACAAGTGGCTATCGCTCGTTACCGTTATACTGGTAGCGTAACCCTGCGTCAAGGAAGTGGATGGAAGAAAACAGTAATATCAGCGAAAAGCGAATTGATCGAAACCCGCGTCGCATTGGCCGAAAAATGGCTCGTGAGCTGAACATATCGCAATATTCCATTCGGCAAATATTGAAAAATGAGCTCGGGGTAAAGCCATTGAAATTCCAAAGAGACCAAGTACTTACACTGCAACAGAAAGAAAATAGACTCAAAAGAGCTAAAGATTTGCTTCGCATGGCCGAAAGTGGTGAACTGCCGAATTTGGTTTTCTCCGATGAGAAAACATTCGTTGTCCAGCAGTCTGTTTGCCAAAGAGGTCAGCCGAAAATGTGCACCTTCGATTGACCAACAGAACAGAACTCAAGCGCCGGCCATGGTGATGGCGTGGGCCGCCATAACAGCCGATCAGAATAAATACCGAATATTATCGCGAAAATATTCTGAAGGGTGTATTAAAGCCTTGGGCACGGAAACATTTTGACCGCAGACCTTGGACATTCCAACTGGACACAGCACCATCGCACTCAGCAAGCGCCACACATAAATGGTTACAAAATGAGGTTCATCGCTTCATTTCCAGCGCACAATGGCCACCAAAATCTCCGGATACCAATCCGTTGGACTATTGTGTCTGGAGTATTTTGGAAAGCAAATTTGGCACTAAAAATACCAAAGTGTCGATCACCTCAAGCAAGCGCTTCGACGGGAATGGTCCAAAATACCACTGAGTAACATTCGGGCAGCGTGTGATGGTTTCATTGGCCGTTTGAAGGCCATAATTCGTGCCAAAGGTGACCAAATCTAAACTTATTCTAAAATTTGAAGCTATTTCCGATATTTTATGCTTTCATTCAATAACATTAAAAAAATTTAAAAGTTATGGCGTTTGGCTTTGTTGCAGTTTTCATACCCTCTATCATGCTATGAAGGGTATATTAATTGTGTCATTCCATTTGTAACACCTCGAAATACTCATGTCAGACCCAACAAAGTATATATATTCTTGATCAGCGTAAAATTCTAAGACGATTTAGCTATGTCCGTCTGTCTGTCTATCTATCTGTCCGTCTGTCTGTCTGTTGTAATCACGCTATCTTTCGAACAAATTGAGATAGAAGGCTAAAATTTTGCACACGTGTATATTTTACCAGTAGGCAGGGCCATGTAGTTATCATATAGCCTCCATATAACGGTACCACCCGATATTCGGTATTTTGATGATTTTATCGACATTATTCACCGAAATTGTTTCAAATTTGGCATTTATTATTAAAAAAAAACTATTTTTCAATTAACCCCTTGCGCACCAACACATTGCATTTACATTTTAAAATTTATCTTCACGGGCATGGCAAATGCTACGAATATTTCTATGAACCCGTGGCTTCGGTCAAAAGCTTAAATAAAAGTTTTACAGGATTATGTGACATTATTTCAAGAATGAAATAGAAATAAAATGCATATATATGGACAAATTTTTAAATGTGCACTATCTGTTCTTTCTTAGAAAACGAAAAAAGTATTTGACGTAGTAGGAAAATATGCTCCATCGAATAAAAAATGTTTTTTAGAGAAAAAGTATTCGTTCCAGATCTAAGATGATTATTCAAAGAGAGGAGCAATTATGTTCAACTGTTGCTTTTATTGCGTAGTAGATATGGGAAGTTCATTAGGAGAATCTTCAATCCAGTTAAAAGGGTTTCAGATCTGCAGAAACTTTCCCGCAAATTGTAGTGTTGTGGGGTATCAAATGGTCGGCTATAGTCTTTGCTTACTTGTTTCTTGTTGAAGTTTGAAAAATCTATAAATGTTTCCAAATAATTGTTAAAGTGACTACTCTGCTAATAAATCAACTCTTTTATTTGTTATACTTAAAACCTAACTAATGACGTCTATCTCCAACTGCATTACTTTAATGAATTACTATAAAATATCGCCAGTACACGTTGATGTTACACAAGCGTGCATTTCGCTCATTCTCTGGGGTTCCATTTGAAACACAAAACAACAAAAACAAATCTTGAGAGCAGCGTTATCCTCTTACAATTGAGATGATTTCAACTTAAGCAGATTTCGGTATTATTTTCAATGTTGCCATGAGCCAAGTCCTGCGATGGGATGGAATGGGATGACGGCAGATAAGTAACCACAAAGAGAGTCGAATATATCTGAGCAACCATTCCACTAACGATACTCACGCGTATCATTACTCATATTTAATCTGTTTTTCTATGATTAATTTTAGCTACAAGATATTTTTTTCCTTTCGTCGCATATTTCTTATTGCCAATGAGTACTATTTTGGTATTTTCTAAGTTAAGGTGTTTATTATATAGCCAGAGGCACTTATACAGAAGAAAAACAAGAGTGAAAAATTCAAATATTTATTGCAATAGCGAGGAGATATTAATTTATTTAATGTGCCAATAAGATAAATTTCTAAGAAATTACATAGCCCAAAAATCAAATATGCCATTCCCTGAATTACATTCTGAAACAGTATGGTCTGGTGCTTTGAAGTTACAAACATTAAATTCTAAAGATGTTTTGGTGAATGAGTGCGGATAAGATTTTAAGTGGGTGGTTCACCGTCGGTGCGTTGGAGAGAAATACGCCATTGATTTTGGGGTACCGTAAAGTGTGAGGTAGTGACTAAAGTGTAAAGAGTTCATCCAATGACTATTGGTACGACTTCTTGCCAAAAAAAAATCAAATATAATGCGAATATTGCACAAATATTTTAGTTTAAATAGGAATTAAGTTTGGAAATCTGGTGTGATAGGCATTGTAAGGATTTTGCTTTATGTAAAGTTCTCAATATTGTGCTATAAATGGATGAATTTTTGGACACGAAATTTTGCACAAAGCCCAAATATGAATCAATGCTGTGAAATGATGAGAAAATCAATTAAATCGTACATCCATGCCTACGAACCCTGGTGCTAGAATTTGATAACCTAAGACACATTTCAATGAATAATTGGACATGCGTTCTGCTACATGAGCGTTTATGATGTCAATTTCAACATTAGATGATTTTTAATTTTGAAATACACCATCTTGAAGTTGAGATGTTCCTAAAGTAATTGAAAACTGTCGATTTGCCTTACATAAGTTCTTGGCCATTAGGACGTGATATTTCAAAGTGATGCAAATTCCGGGTACATAACAGCGTAGAGTAAATGAATAACTATATATTTCTATAAGAGGTGTAGGACTGAACATTTTGTCGAAATAAAAAATTTGGTGCCTTAAAGATACTTAGATGTTTATTAAGATTAGTTGTAAGTCGAGATTCCAAGTTATAGTATGCCGAACATTTTATTTGTGATATCCCTTTATATCATTTACAGTTTTTCCATTTTTAATAAAAAAAAACTCTAAGGATCTAAAATACATTTGGGAAGCTAGAGCGATTTCTTCAGACGGCAAAGAGATGCCCGGACCTGTCTTAATCGATATAAAATCTTATGCTGACCAAGCATATATACTGAAATAATACAGTTAAGTTCGACTGAGCCGGGCTTTGAACAACCTTCATCATTTGGAAAGTTAGAGTGAAAAGATAACTTATCTACAAGAAGGAACATAACGAACTTAAAATACAATTTTTAAAACAATTATATTAAAAACGTGGTGAAAATCCTTGAAATAACCAATACTTTCCGTAACAGTATGTGGTACCGATATGTGAAACAATTTCTTTGGAAATGTGACAAAAATCATCAAACTAAAATATATCGGAAGGTATCTTTATAAAGGGGCTATAGAAAATGTGGACCTACAGAGTGAGATAAAAAACAAGTAAGCAAAGGCTACATTCGAGCGGGGCCGACCATTGAATACCCTACAACACTATAATACAGTTTATATAGGCGAGATACTCGAAAGAATTCCACAAGATATTGTGACAAATAATAAAAGAAAACCATCAGGTTTCGTTCTCTAATTTTCGAATAATAGCAACTTAAACTAATTTGCTCATTTCCAATTTATTGGTAGATGTTGCACGTAAATGGTCTTCCTAGATCTGGAACCAATATTTCCCAAAGACCTATAATCTCTCAGAAGTGGCAAAAGATTAACATTTTGTATTGGTTTTTGACTGAAACGCATCTATATGAGATACATACATTTGACTATATTCTCCAACGAAATCAGCGTTACGAAATAGTCAGAAGTGCGTCTTTCCTGTATTTGTGAATTCTCCAAAAAGTCACTGGAATGGATATTTTCGTATTTTGTCTACAAAAGTTGGCCAACTATTTCACACATTGAATATTTTTGGATGACCATCCAAAACTGCTTGGATTTTGCAATGCCCGGTAACCCCCATTCAAATGTGCGTGAGGATCGGGCAATAATTACGACCTGCTGACAATTTTTCAGTTTTTTTTTGGTCCATTTCAACCCCTAAATATAATAAAGAGACGGCTTCTATTCTGACCCTCATCTGATCCCCATGCAAAATTTCGTTAGGATCGGGCAATAAATGCGATCTGTATATGATATCCTAACTACTTAGTTTTGTTAGCTGTATAAATATTACCAAATGTTTAATTCAAAATGAAAATATGACAAAAATGTGACAAAATTGAAAAAAAAAATATGAGAAAATTGTACAAAATCAATATTTTCATCTTTAGAGAGATATTTTTATGCGATTTTTTAGACGTTATTACTTTCCTGCCAAGAGGCCATTCTGAATTAATGAGAACTGTCGAAATCAGTTCAGCCGTTCTCGACATAAAAGAGATCTTTCAAGCATATCTGCTTTGATAGACATATATATCGCACATATTTTGCTATATATCCGATCTGTTGGATGTTAACATCAATGTAAAGATCAGAAGTAACCCTGTCATGGCTTTGTGATTTCGCCGGGATTTAAAATATTCGCGGTTTAATGAAAAATTTCGAATTTTTTCAATACAAAAGATATGGTCTATTTTACCCGCTAAATATAATCCGATGACCACCCAAATTGGTAGGCTTCTTCCCCGCCCTAAACTCTAGCAACATGCGAAGTTCCGCGTCGATTGGTCTATAATTGCGACCTGTATAGCTACTGCAAAATCCGACATTTTTTCAGTTTTTGGTTCATTTCGACCCCTAAATATTAAGCGATCATCTCCAAAAGAAATAGGGTTCTATTCTGACTCTAGCCCCACCTCCATTCTAAATTTCGTGAAGATCGGGCCATAATTGCGACCTGTAGAGTGATTACAAATTAAGATTAAGATCGACTCAACTCGGCGAGATAGGGAGATCCATATATAGTTTCCTATGTGGGAAATCAATATTTTGAGGTGTTACATAATTTTTGGCCCAATCAAACTTATAATACCCCCAAAACACATAGTGTTGTAGGGTATAAAAACTGCAACAAAGTCAAACTTTTACATTTTTGGACCAATTTTTTTATTAATTTCATTGAATGAAAGCAAAAAATGTCGGAAATAACATCAAATTGTAGAATAAGTTTAGATATGTTCGAATTAGTCACCTTTGGCATGAATTATGGCCTTCAAACGGCCAATGAAACCGTCACACGCTGCCCGAATATTGCTCAGCGGTTCTTTGGTCCATTCCGGGCGAAGCGCTTGCTTGAGATGATCGACACTTTGGTATCTTTTAGTGCCAACCTTGCTTTCCAAAATACTCCAAACACAATAGTTCAATGAAGCAAGGAACCTCATTTTGTAACCATTCTTGGGTGGCGCGTGCTGAGTGCGATGGTGCTGAGTCCTGTTGGAATGTTCAAGGTCTGCGGCCAAAATGTTTGCGTGCCCAAGGCTTTAATACACACTCCAGAATATTTTCGCGATAATATTTGGCATTTATTCTGATGCCACGGTCGATTAATACCAGCGGAGGGCGACCTTCGGCTGTTATGGCGGTTCACACCATTACCATGGCCGGCGCTGGAATAATTTAAACAGCTGTCGGACGAGTGGCTTGAAAATAACAGCAGTCTGAAGTTTATTGCAGTTTTTTCATCTCACCCTGTACACTTTTCTGTCAGAGGAAATGCTAGCCATTAGGATGGCAGTGGCACAGTCACACTGTACCGAAAGACTATGAACCCATCCCTCTTTCATCCTTTCTTCTAAAGGCTCTGGAATGACTGATAGACCTGGATGTAGGACTGGAGCTGGTAAGAAATTCACATCACGCCTAAATGAAAACAGAATATGTTGGTCATGAAGTGGTTGATTCCATTAAAGAAAATATAGAGAAGCGGAATTTCATACTAGCGGTTTTTTGTTGCCATCGAGGGAGCTTTCAAGTAGCAAAATCATTAATTCCAGCATAGGCGATGTATCCATTAGACCGATCCTATGGTTATTCGCTGTTAATGACATTCTACGGGACCTCGGAAAAAGTTATTGTTCTGTTGACAACGTTGTGCTGGGAAATTCCTGTATCAGGGTGCACTGTCACCAAGGGACAGATATAATAAATACGTTGCGGAACAGGTGAAGATAGGCTTTGTTGCACTCAGCGCTTGCCGGATTTCAATAGATAACAGCCCCTTACACACACTGGTTGGATGAAGTTGTGGTTTGCCGATTCTTTCCTATGGATGTTTTGTTAGTAAATCACATTCAAATATTTGGTGAAACTCTCAAGCGTAAAGCGAGCAGTCTCAATTCTAATCACAGGTGCAGCCTTAAAAGTAAATCTAATACACGCTCTGGTCGACCTTGGCCTACAGTACCAGGCTGCATGTAGGGCAATAAGACTATCGGAACAAAATATGCTACACACTACAAGTCAGGGTCATTCCAGGTTACTAAACTGGACCAACCACAGACGTAGTCAGTTGTTTATAATTTTTAGATATTTTTAAAGTATTTGGCTTGGAAATCTTATTTTTTGTCGGTTGGGCTCCCCGAAATGGTTTAGAAAGACATCGGTGTCTCCCCCACGAGGTTTGACAAAATAGATACTTATTCCAAACGGGGATTAATGGAACGGAACCAGTGTAATTCCAATCGGTCTGTCTATATATACAAATGGATAGACGACGGGAGAAAGCACGGGAGTCGGAGTCATCTGTGAGTAACTAAGAATGCAGTATATTTTGCTATCATCACGGCAGCAGAATTGATTAAAGAAATGGGAGATGAGATAAGTGATGCTGTCAACATTTATGTGGATAACCAAGTGATTCTGAAGGCTACCGATTGCCCTGGGAAGTCTGCATACCAATCTCCTGCTTTTGTGGGTAGCTGGTTATTGCAATATAGAAAAAATGAGAAAGACGATGAAATGGCAATAAAGAACTCAAAGTAAATAGACCCTGAGGTCGCCGACACCTATAAACCCCCTCTCTGTCACAAATCGGATAATGATCGGATAATTATCAGGTTATTACAACATCCCATAAGGAACGTCCAACTGAGTGTTCAGAAAATATTAAAAATAAAGCTATATCGTAAACCGAAGAAAAATATGAAAAAAAATTTGTTACTGGACACGTAATAAAGTTATCTAAAACTTGCAACAACAGTTTCACATATTCTGTTAGCATATTTTCGCCCACACTGACATTTGCAAAACTCAGAACTCATTTACATTTCATAAATATAATTTAATTTTGCACATATGACCATCATATAATCAGTGAATATAGATGCAAACATATGTACATATTTCTTTATGTTTGCCTACATACAAACATATGTCTATAAAAATTTCATATTCAATTATGAACAAAAGTTTACTTACGTAATTGAATTTCAAATCCGGATGCATATAATCAACGCCTGTGACATAAAGAGAATTAAAAAAAAAAAAACAAAAAACATAGTTATGCATGTGTCTCTTACTGTTTGTTTACAATTAGTTAATGGAAATGTTTTTTATAACACATATGTGTCAGTTTCATTTAACCATCGCTACTTACCATCATCCATGATGGCGGTGGTAACATTCTTTCCAGTTATACCCTGATCCCATGCCGCTTGCACATTTAAATCTAAACGCGCTTTACCGCCATTCTGACCCGTATTCTTTAAATACCACTGAAATGGAAAGTAAGGATCTGTCGGTTCGGCACTTTCCGTACTGGCTTGTGTATTATAGGTGGCATCGAATTTAAGACCATGTATAGCATGAACCGCTGGACGTAGACCTCGTTTGACACGCTTGAAACCGGGCTGTTGAACAGCAGTGTGGATCTGAAAGTGACAAGAAAGGAATTACATTATATCTTAACAAACATAGGAGGGGATGTGGGCATGTATAAAATATTTATTAGAAGTTAGAATATATTAGTCGGTGTTCCGGAAGATGTAACCCATCAGCATTTTACCATTTGTTTATAAAGGGTGATTTTTAGCAATTATCTTTTGGCGAACACTGGTTAAACAACCTTTTTACTGTTAGCCTAATACCATTGCAAAGGCGTTGTGGGTCGATACTTCTTAATAAAATCATATCCCAGTCTGAACCGATTTCAATATAATTGACAACATTTTACACCAAATTCAGAGAAATATGTGAAATCGGCCGAGAATATATATGGGAGCTATATCCAAATCTAAACCGATTTCCAATTAATTTATTAAATTTATTCTTGTAACCAAATTCCGCCATATATTCTGAATTTCATTGAATAGGGTCAACATACATAAAATCGGCCGAAATAAATATATGGGAACTATACCTAAACCTCAACCGATTTCTATATAATTTGGCAAATTTTTTTTGCTACCAGATTTCGTCTTTCTGTTCGAATTTCATTGGAATCGGGCATACATATCGCGTTGGGTGTATCAAATATGTAAAATCGGCCGAAAATATATATGGGAGCTATATCCAAATCTGAACTGATTTGAATATAATTTGCCAAATTTATTTTTGTACCAAATTTAGTTACTCATGCCAAATTTCATTGGAATCGAACATATATATCGTGTTTGCTGCATCAAATATTTGAAATCAGTCGAAAATATATATGAGAGCAATATTCAAATCTGAACCGATTTCAATAAATGTATTCGTGTGCCAAAAAAATCGGTTCAGATTTGGATATGGCTCCCATATATATTTTCGACCGATTTCGTCTATTTGATGCACCAAATATGATATGTATGTTCGATTCCAATGAAATTTGGAATGAGTGGCGGGATTTTGATGAAAAAATAAATTCGACACATTATATTGAAATCTGTTCAGATTTGGGTTTCAAATATTTGACGACCGAAACACGATACGTATGTCCGATTCCAAAATTTATTCGTGTGCATTGGAATCGAACATACATATCATATTTGGTGCATCAAATAAACGAAATCGGTCGAAATTATATAAGGGAGCTTTATCCAAATCTGAACCGATTTCTATGTAATTTGACAGATGTATATTCGTTTTAAATTCGTTACACATTCCAAATTTCATAGAAATTAGAGATACATAGTGTGTTTGGTGCATCAAATACAAGAAATCGGCCGAAAATGTATATGGGAGCTATATCCAAAACTGAACCGATTTCAATATAATTTGGCAAATTTATTTTTGTTTCAAATTCCGTTACGCATTCCAAATGTGGAGACTGTATCTGTAATCGATCAATAGATATGTGCACATAAAATCTAAATTTTTCAATGTGGAATTTCAAAAAATGAATATAGCCTATGTTACCTTCGGCCGATGTTGGTGTATATTTGGAAATTTTCAGGAAAATCTGTTCAGCGGTTTTCGAGCCCATAAATTACAAACAAACATACAAACATTTTCCCCTTTTATGGATATAGGCTAGAAAGAATAGAACGATATATTGGGATGTAAATAATGCCGGACACTGATTTCCCACTTTTCGGCCCAAGAATTTAGAATTGAAATTACTGAGAATCGGTTCAAATTTAAATATAGCTCGCAAATATATCTGCAACCGATTTTGGTTTAATTGTGCACCAATTGGCCAATATCAGTCCAAATGAACAGAATTTGGCACATCCGACTGAATTCAGTCAAGAAGCAAGTACATCAAATTTTGTGAAAATCGGTTCAAATATAGCTTTAGCTCGCAGATGCATGTTTCATCCGATTTGGGGTTTTAAGCCCCTTACATTTGTGATATGCACTCCACAAGCATGATATTTGGTACCATATAATTTCTAGAGCTCATAAATGCCAATGTCAAATCTTATCGAGATCTGAAACGAATTTGGATATAGCTTGCATGCATATCTTCAACCGATTTCGGGTTAATAATGCCCCAAATGGCTAATATCAGTCTAAATGAACTAAATTAAATGAATTTTGTCTATTCCGACTAAATTCATCCTAGAAACAAGTGCTTCAAATTTTGTGAAAATCGGTTAGATATAGTTATATCTTCCATATATATGCTCTATTGGGGTTTAAGTCCCTCACAAGTGTAATATGCACTCCACAACAAAGACATCCAATTTAGCTCTGAAATAAGTGTTTCAAATATTGTCAAGATCAGTTCAGGTTTGGATATAGAACCCATATATATTTTTATCCGATTTCAGGTTTATTGACACATCCGACCGAATTCAGCCTAGAAGCACGTACTTCAAATCATATATATCTTTAGCTCCTATTGCTTATATATTTCATCCTGTTTTGTGTTGAAGTCTCTTACATGCGTAATATGCACTCCACAACAATGATATTTGATACCGGACATAAGATACTTTTACGTTTATTGTTCACCATATATGTAATATCAGACTAAATTGGATAGATTTTTTATACCCTCCACCATACTATGGAGGGTACATTAACTTTGTCATTCCGTTTGTAACTCCTCGAAATACTCATATCAGACCCAACAAAGTATATATATTCTTGATCAGCGTAAAATTCTAAGTCGATTTAGCGACGTCCGTCTGTCTGTCCGTCTGTTTGTCTGTCTGTCTGTCCGTCTGTCTGTTGTAATCACGATATCTTTCGAATGAATTGAGATAGATGGCTAAAATTTTGCACACATGTTTATTTTTCCAGTAGGCAGGTTAAGTTCGTAAATGGGCCATGTAGGTCCACGTTTTCATATAGCCCCCATTTAACGGTACCTCCCTATATTCGGTATTTTGATGATTTTAGCGACATTATTCACGGGAATTGTTGCAAATTTGGCATTTGAAGTTCAAAATGGATACCACACCATAAGACGGAAAATTGTCTGTGCAGGTCCACGTCTTCGTATAGCCCCCATATAACGGTACCTCCCGATATTCGGTATTTTGATGATTTTAGCAACATTATTCACCGGAATTGTTTCAAAATTGGTATTTGAAGTTCGTTATGGGAACTACAGTCTGTGACAGAAAATTGTCTGTGCGGGTCCAGGTCTTCGTATAGGCCCCATATATCAGTACCTCCCTATATTCGGTATTTTGACGATTTTAGGTACAATACCCACCGAAATTGTTTGAGATGTGGTATTTGAAGTTCGTAATGGATGCTACAGCCTGTTACAAAAAATTGTCTATGCTGGTTCAGGTCTTCGCACAGCTCCGATATAACGGCACCTCCTTATATACGATATTTTGATGATTTTAGCTACATTATTCACTGTTTATTTCAAGTTTCGAATTTGAATATGGTAATGGCTTATGACAAACAATGCCTATGTATGTCCACGTCGTATAGACCCCATTATAACGGCTATATTCGGTATTTTTAGAATTTTAAAAAAATTTTTTAAGGATTTTATTTTTAAAAAATTCCAAATTCGTTGCAAATGGTGGAGGGTATTAAAAGTTCAGCCCGGCCGAACTTACTGCTTTTTAACTTGTTCATATTCAACCGAATTTTTTCATTTGGTGAAACTCGATCCGGTATCTATATATAAAAGAAAGTTGTTTGTCGGATTTTAACGACAAATTCTGAATTGTCTCTTGGCAGAAGAGGATAAAATTCAAAAAAATCGCGTAAAAATTTGAAATTTGAACATTTTCATTTTGACTTTTGAAATATACAATAGTAATGTTTTATTTTGCATGATTTTTTGTTTCAATTTTGACTTATTATTTTCGAATGTACATTTCTAGTGTTTATACCCTACACCACAAGGTGGTCAGGGTATTATGTATTTGTGCATTTGTTTGTAACAGGCAAAAGGAAACGAGATAGACCCATAGTTCCTTTTGATGATCTGCATAGAATCACTTTCTGAGTTGATTTATGCATGTCAGTCCGTCTGTCCGTCCGTCAGTCTGTCCATGTATTCTTGTGAACAAAATGCAGGTCGCATTTATTATCCGATTGAGATGAAATTTTGCAAACAACATTTGTTTGGCCCAAGGACGAACCCTATTGAAATTGGAGATAATCGGTAAAAATATAGATATAGCTCCCATATATATCTTCTTCCGATTTGCCTTTTATTGTGCACCAAACGTGTAATATCAGCCCGAATAGTATGGCATTTTGCACATACAACCAAATTAATAAGTATGCCAAATTTTATCGAAATCGGTTCAGATATAGCTATAGCTCCCATATATATTGTTCATCCGATTTGTTATTTTTGTCCTCCGCAGCCGTAATATGCACTCTGTAACAACAATATTTGGGGAAATATATCAAATGCAGCACAGAAATACCTTTGCTAAATTTTATCGAGATCGGTTCAGATTTGGATATAGTTCCCATATATATTTTTATCCGATTTCAAATTAATTTTGCACCAAATGGGCAATATAAGTCCGAATTTAAAAGATACAAATGCTTCGGCATATTTAGTCCTTTGAATTTTAAATTATAATTATAATCATAGCGTGTATGATTGAATTCTCCCACAAAAACTTTTAATTATTAAGTGGAGCTCAACTAAATTAACAAAGTGGTGTAGGGTATCATAAAATCGGCCCCGCCCGTCTTTAGGACTTTCTTTACTGGTTTTTTTTAATTCTAATATAATGTGTAGTCCTTTTGGGGAGTTACAAGCGCCAAAGGACGAATTTATAGATTTTATGTATTTATTGGGTAAGTAAAACTATACGAATAAAATCATTTAAGAATAGGATAAGCTATGAAAAAAAATCAATATTTTATTTGTGTACGAACGGTTTTTTCAATTCGAATAAATTTATTTAATTGTCACGATTCCTTGAGAACAGAAATTGTAGGTGGGTTACATAGAAGTGTAGTACCGAATAATGTGGTTCTTGAAACTGAATAGATGATGTCGAAATAATGTAACGCAGTCATACCAAAGTTAAAGGATAATTATTAAAAATCAAACAAAATCGCTAAAAAATAAAAAAAAGACTACCTCATTGCAAAATTTTTAAAATCGGGAAAAAATCGAGAAAAAAAATTCTATAGAATCGAATTTCAAAATTATAGTACATACTATTAACAAACTTCGTAAGGAACTTTAAACATTTGCTGTAAAAATTCCGCGAACACGTTGAAGATTTTTTTTTTTCAATTTGTTTTTCTTTTTTATAATGAGTTCGCAATTCGAGTTTAAATGGCGATTTTTTTGTTTACAATTGGCATCTAGCTTTCAAGTCCAGGACCTACATCGTGCTTCAGCTGGGAGATGCGAACGCATTTAAACAAACAAAATTGACCGACAAAGCGTTATGGGCTCATTTCAAAACGTGGACCTACTTCTTTTATATGACAATAATCCGTCCAGTGAGAACTCAAAATGCAAAATTCTTTGGGACTGCAATCAATGAAATACAGAATAAAAAGGATGCAAAATGGTAGTGCGAATTGGACATTTGGTAAAAAAAGGATGTATATCCTTCCAGAAATTCTTTCTAAACTTTCAAGATACTTTAAATCGATTTTGCAGGTTAATGTATGGGTCATAAACCACGGATAAGGGAAAAACCCGGTTTCAAGAATATTTTACATTTTAATCATACTTTTAATACTAATTTCGACATTTGTTGGTAATTTCCGAAAAAAAACCATCCTTGCAAAAAACTATCACGGTTTGGTATCACCATCATATGATTAAAGCTATTTTCGGGGTCTTGGCCACTTTTTTTATTTATTTATTTTCATTTTTGTTTTAATACAACAATGATTGTTACGTTTTATTGCAAACAAAAAAAAAAAAGAGTTCAATTATAGACATTTGCTAAAATACAATTTATGCTGCAATCGTTTATTATATTGATTTCGGAGAATTCTTATTGCGGGTGAAATCTTTGATTGGTATCTTAAAGACATTAAAGGACAGGAACAAAAGAACAATTGCTCTTTAAAATTAATAAAATGCCTAATTTTTTGCAGCAGCATTTGGAATTGTACAAATTCTTGAATAAATTATAGGTCGATAAAATAAAAAGTTCTTAGTATATTTCTTCAACCTATTCAAATATAACAAAATTTTCTTAATAACTTAGATATGTTGAAAAATGTACAATTTCAATATATATTTTGTATGATATCCGTGGGGAAAGGTTTAGTCATGTTCATCTATCTATTTGGCTGATTGCTTTAATGTTTGAAGAGCTGTAATAAATATACAAAATTTTATAAAATTTCAATATGCATTTTTTTGAGCCGTTATATTTTAAATACTTTTTTACTGTGCGTTTAATAAACAAATCAATACTTTTTCATAGGTATGGGATTGCACATATTTGGTAAATTATGTTAAATTCTATGACTGTCACTTTTAGAAAATATAAAGTTATAACATTTGGCTCATAAAATTCCTAAATAGACCTTTCATCCCCAAAAAACATAATTCCACCCCCAGGCATTGTATTTTTTATTGTCTAATGATATCGATACTTACCATTGGATGACTTTTAAGTAAACGAGTATGGGTTATGCTACGCCGTGACCGAGCATGTGGCAAAGTCCGATGCTTGAAATGGTATTCGTGTCCATTACCACCCACCAACTGAAATGAACAAAAAAAAAGAGATACAATAAAAGAGCAATTCATCTAATAAAACTTGTAATGGATTGATTTTCATTTCGTGTAATGAAACGATTTCAAGTATGAACTTAAATGTAATAAGAAATTCATAGAATTTTTGATTGAAATGTAATGGAAAAAGTAATTTAATTTCATGACATTTCATGCGATTGCCTAAAGCATATATGGACGTACAACATAAATATAAAACGTAGATCTAGGCTTATAGATTTTATAAAAAAAAAAATCGGCAAAGGCTATAGACGTGCGTGCTCCTCTACAACACTATAATGTTTTGGAAGCCCCTTTAATTGAAGTTCATTGTTAGAGATTTCGTTTTTGAAATAATGCCAAACAACCCTGCGCAAAAGTTACTTTTGATATTTGCCGGTGTTTTTGACCTTGCCCTATATTTACGCTTTTTGTCGCGCTGATAAGTATTCAAAACAATTTCATACGAAAATTGTGGTTCATTTGACCCGCCAAAAATAATCCCATCGTAATCCAAAATACTAGACCTCTGCTTTGTCCCAAACTCTCACCTCATGCAAAATTCTGTGCCATTTTGTTTTTCATTGTGACCTGTAGGTGGACTGCAAAATCAGGAATATTTTAATTTTTGTGGTCCATTTAAAGCCCTAAATGTACATCTTCAAAAACAAAAGGTTCTAATTCTGACCTATCCCTACACTAATGCAACATTTCGTGAGGATCAGACGATAATTACGACCTGTATATAATACGTTCAACATATAATGTTGTAGAGTGTAGAAAAACTTTACAAAATGTACAATTCAAAATTGTAAGTCAAATTGATCGCACTCCATAAAAAATATGACAAAAATTGAAAAAATTTAACAAAAAATATTCACTTTTTATGTCATATGACTTTCTTAGATTTTATCCTTTTCTTTCAAGAGGAAATCAGTCCAGCGGTTCTTGACTTATAAGCGGATTAACTAACATCAATTTCTTTTGCTTATTGGTTGCACCTATTTCGCTGTATATCCGATGTTTTGGCTATCAGCATCAATCTAATGTTCAGAAGTGACTTTTTAATATATGTGAGATTTCGCCCGTATTAAAAATGTTCGCGGTTTAGTGAACCAAATTGGTAGGCTTCTGCCCAGCCCTAAAATCTAGTCCCATGCTAAATTACCCGTCGCACAGTGGTGTTAGATCCCCAAAAACAGAGATTTATTCAGTGAAGCATCCTTTAGCTTTGAAATCTTGCTCAGACATTTATATTATCCCTAGTATGTTTGGTATTAAAAATGGGACATATCGGTCCACGTTTTGGTAAGGCCCCTATATAGCGTTACTTCCACATTTTCGGTATTTTGAAGTTTTGACCAGAATTTTAAACCAAATTATGCTCAAGTTGACATTTAGAGTTAGGAGGAGATATAATCTCTCCTTGCTAAAAATTTTAAGATTGTTCCTCTATTTGTCATAGACCCCATATTACTGTACCTCCTAAATTTCGATATTTTGAAGGTTTCAAATACAATTTTGATCCCATTCGTGAGAAACTTGACATTTTGAGTTCAGAACTGATCCTCCAAATCAGAGATAAATTTAAAGGAAGCATTTCGTTGCTCGCATTCATTTTTTGAATAGTTCTGAACCTTATCAATATATTTAAAAAAATATGTAACATATTTTTAAAAAATCATGACTATGGTGTTCTTTCTTTAAATCTCTTTAGTTGTCTTAAATTGGATCAAAGGATAAAGGTGAAAAAACTAACCTCACCACTGATTTTTAAAGAGACTGGATTATTTTTATATATTTTGGAATAGGATGAAAAAGCAAGAGAAACTGATTAAAAAAACAACAAGAAAAAACAAACAGAGAACTAGATCAAAGTACATTCACCGCAAAAAGTTGAATATTTTCGCCATTTTTTAAATTAAACAAAAACGACACGAGTTTTTTATTGATTATAAAAGATAACATTCAATACTAAAATAAAAAATTAAAATTTTATGACCTTCTCGATACAATATTTTTAAAACCCCATATATTTTTCGGTATGGCGAAAATAGTGTCATATTTTGAATTAATATTTAAAAAAAATCTACATGATTATTTTTAAAACTATTTTTATTCTAAGACATTTTAAAATAATCGGTTTTGATGAGAAAAAACTAAATTTTTGCACTTCAACAAGCCAAAGAAATATGAAATATTTCTCAACATTGCCACATTAGAAAACTAAACAACGTATGACTTAGACATTTTCGGTACTAAAGTAGAATTTAATGTTCTATAGAAGTCTAAAAACATTTATTCCAAAAGACGAATTTCATTTTTCAATTAATCTCCATGTTTTATGATTTCACCCCTCTGTACGTCGTTTGGTCTATAATTGTGGCCTGTAGAGCAAGTGCAAACATCTCCAAAAACAATAAGCTTCTATTCTGACCCAAACCCCACTTCCATTTTCAATTTGGTAAGGATCGGGTCATAATTGTGACCTGTAGCGTGATTACAAATTAACATGGACAAACGGACATACATAGCTTGTCTCTAACTTATTGACGTAATATTTATTTTTTCCGACATCCCACAAATAATATTCCAACGGTATCAAATCGAAGCTGCGAGGTGGCCAACCGACATCAGATATGTGACTGATAATTCGAAATTTAAAACACGACGAAAAAGAAGAAAGAAAAAGATTATGATTCTGGACAAAAATCCGCACCAAACTGTGAGTCATTTTGGGTCCACGGTCTATTGGGATACATAATATAACCTTATTTAGTTCATTAAGGATTCAACATTCATTGCAATTTGTAGTTGATTATATATATTTTACCTCAATTGTAAAATCGAAAAAAGCTAAAGATTTACTACGCAATATGTTAAAAAATCAATATACTGCCCCAATTTATTAGAATTTTATTCCCCAACGACCTTGTGAGAGCAAAACACACTTAAGAATTACAAAAAAAAAATTATTTACATTGCATAAAACTTATCTTATATCGTATTCAATGGCTGGGTTATCTTTGACTTATTAAAAAATATATGTAAAACTTGAAAAATAATTACCATTAGAACAGCAACATCAACCATATAAATGCCCTCAACATTATTGGTATAACTTTTCCCATGAAACTCTTTAGTTTCAGTATCCAATGATTACTCTTGCGAAAGAACAACACACACACACACGCAACAACTAAAACTTAAATAAACTGAACTCAAACCACAAAAGTATGCAAGCGGATGCACACAAGTACACAATTTTAGATAAATTAAAGTAAAATGAACGACCCTTCCCAATGCAAATCCAGCTACAATGCGAAAAGTTCAATGAAAAGTGTTATAAAATAAGAGCTACAAAAATTAAACAGGAATAAGTAAAAAAGCAAATAAGTTCGGCCGGCTCATTTTTTATTTAATTTTAATCTACACCATATAGAAGAACTTGCAAAATGTAAAAAAAAGTACCGCTATAATTGTAAAAAATCTCAATTTGAGATAATTCTCTTGAAAAATGTAATCATCAAATCACCAATTATTGGAAGATACCGTTATATTTGGGCTCTAGGAAGGCGTGGATCTGTACAGGACATTTTTTGTCATAGAAAATAGTACCCATTAAGAACTCCATATACCGAATTTGAAATAATTCCGGTGAAAATGGTTGATTTTTAGATATTTTTGACGAATTTTGTTGAAAATCTAACTATGGTGCATATGTTGAAATATGTACTACTAATATCTATTAAAATTATTCCAGTGACAGCTCATTATAATTTTTACAAAAGCATTTTGGCTCGGGGTAAAGCCATTGAAATTCCAAAAAGTGCAAGAACTTACACGGCAACAGAAAGAAAATAGACTCAAAAAAGCTGAAGAGCTGCTTCGCTTGGCCGAAAGTGGTGAACTGCCGAAATTGGTTTTCTCTGATGAGAAAACATTCGTTGTCCAGCAGTTTGTAAACAAACAAAATGATCGTGTTTACTTTAATGTGAACCTTCTGTTGGCCACCAGAACTCAAGCGCCGGCCATAACAGATGGTCGCTCTCCGCTCGTATTAATCGATCGTGCCATCAGAATAAATGCCGAATATTATCGCGAAAATATTCTGAAGGGTGTATTAAAACCTTGGGCTCGCAAACATTTCGGCCGCAGACCTTGGACATTCCAACAGGACTCAGCACCATCGCACTCACCACGCGCCACACATAAATTGTTACAAAATGAGGTTCATCGCTTCATTTCCAGCGCACAATGGCCACCAAAATCTCCGGATACCAATCCGTTGGACTATTGCGTCTGGAGTATTTTGGAAAGCAAGGTTGGCAATAAAAAATACCAAAGTGTCGTTCACCTCAAGCAAGCGCTTCGCCTGGAATGGGCCAAAATACCGCAGAGCAACATTTGGGTAGCGTGTGACGGTTTTATTGGCCGTTTGAAGGCCATAATTAGTGCCAAAGGTGGAAAATTCGAACAATTCTAAACTTATTCTAAAATTTGATACTATATCCGACATTTTTTGCTTTCATTCAATAAAATTAAGAAATGTAAAAATTATGGCGTTTGACTTTGTTTCAGTTTTTTTCCTCACCCTTTATATTGCCTGATACTCAGGCTCAACCTTAAATTGTAATCCAGCTTATTTTCCAGTATCTATATAGCACAAGGAAATCGTAACAAAACTCCATCCTAAAATCTCATTTTTGTAAAAAAAAAAAATTTATCGTATTGATACATTTTTTCCAATATTTCATAAGTTTTTTTTTTTTTTTCAATAAATTCCAATATGTTCGCCCTTATTTGCTAACCCTATCCCTTCCAATATCTTCCATTGTAAAATAAAACTAAAGCGTTCTTACCAACAAAAAATTTTGCATATATTTACATAATGCATCTCGACTACCCTCAAGTAAATGTAAATGCAATCAAACTGTGGCTAAGTAAGGGAGCTTTAGCACAAAAAGGTCAAAGTTCAATTGAACAATTTA